TGTTCATAATTAGACAAATTGCAGCAATACGTAAAATGGTTGATGCTGAGTTCAAATGGTTTGACGGCGCAGAAAATAGTCAAATGATCAGTCTTCGTGCGCTGCTTGAATTTGTTTGATCTTATATTTTGAACAAATTTTCGGCTTAGGTTTAATCCCGGTCTGATTTATTCTGAATGATGTTTATACGGTCTATTGAAGCAATTAATAAAGCAAGTCCAAATACAATACGGCCTTGCCTAAATAATCCTTACAGAATCGGAAAAAGTTGGCAATAATGAATGCATTTACTTACATGTACTCGAAAATTGCAATCAATTTTACTATTTTGCAGCGCACCAGCATATTTTAATTATTGATTATTTTATCTCAAAGCAAGCGTGAATCAGAATACGCCATACTTGTCAGAACGTCAGCACAATCCACTACCGATCAAAGTCCTTGAAGTTACGCAACACGAAACAAATATGTTAATCATTATCACGTGTCTTCTTCATTGTATACTGCAGCCATTTTGATGTAATAATGGGTATCTGTTCGGTCATAAATATTATGGTGGAAACCAGTAGTGCGTTATATTTCGCAGGGGTGTTAGCCTTGATTTATGTCAGCGCGAGGACGGTTTTTAATCTGTACACGCATTTTGTGATATATTTTACTAGTGCAGCGGTGGACTATCGCAGGTTCGGAAGATGGGCTTTTGTAACAAATGCTACGGATTGCCTCGGCAAAGCTTTTGCAAAGGAGTTGGCTCATATGGGAATGAGTATAGTGTTGGTTGGTCAACATCGAGACAAGCTACAAAAGCTTGCGAAGGAAATAGAAAGCGGATGCCGTGTCGAAGCGCAATATGTTGTCGTCGACTTTACAAAAACAGGCGAAGTAATGGACGGAGAAACGATGACGTCATCGGCCTATGACGCAATCAGAAATTCCATTCGAGATTTAGAAATTGGTATTGTGGTCAACAATGTCGGATTAGAGCAAGAATTCGAACGGTCAATCGACTGCTTCGGAAATACCGAAGATCGGAAAAAACGGCCGAAAAGAAGTTTGGATTTTATATCTTGCAACTGTTTTTTTCCGTTGGATGTCAATCAACTGGTGTTACCAAATATGATAAAGAGAGGAACCGGTCTTGTTATAAACATTTCACCAGCTGCCTCACAATTTGTCTTACCCTTTTGCGCCTTATATTCCACATCAATGAGATTTGGCGACCATTTTTCTCAAGCTTTGAGCTATGAGTGCGAAAAGAATGAAATTATTGTTCAAAGTGTACAACCAATGATAGGATATAACTTGAAGATTGTAGAGAATGCCGAAAATTTTGCAAGCCATGCTCTAAAAACTGTAGGAAAAGCCAGGTTGTCGAACGGATACTACATCCATGCATTTCATGCTTGGATAGCAAGTTGGATACCCGAAATTATTGCTTATAGGGCAATCAAAATTTGGATAAAACTATTTAAAAAAAGAAATAATAGGAAATACAAAGTGAGGGATTGCGAGAAAAAGTACGAGTAATCAATAGCGCAGCTATCTCAAAATTTTTGGAGCGTATGACGTAATACGAGGCTTACTCGCGCATTTCGTTTCGAACAAGGCCAGATACAAGAAGCCACTGTTATCCGACGATAGCTTGAAAAAGCTCTCCTCAGAATTACTTTGCTGTCAAAGCTATACAAGCATGCCTTATCATATAAATGGATTTGCTCAATTGAAGGAAGAGATCTTCCTGAACCTAAAATATCATAAAGGATATGCTGTACTACTAATTTCAGTTCATACTTCCGTATTCACAATCAATCATTTGGCTCGTACGAGGCTGAGCAATTCGAAAGGTCGATATCAGATTAAAGTATATTGCTAAAAAAGCAGAATGACAGTCCACATTATGCACCATTGTAGTCTGGATATCTCAAAACCATTATGAAGCCATACCCGAATATAACTTTGAAAAACTGGGGTCATACTATGAGAACTATGGTATAATACAGAATTTAAATCAGAACACCATTTGGGATACGTGACATAATGTCCACGTGAATATGATTAGCTTCCAATTGTAAACGTTCCGAAGGATTGATGCGACGCTGTACTTATATCTCAATATTATAACGGACTGTGTTCTTCTGAACTTTCGGGACTTGTCCATCCGAAAATGTTTTCAGTCGCCACATTCGGCTAGCTGTTAGCACTCGCCGCTCACCTACCAGACAAGCTTTATTCCAAAAACATCAGTTGTGTGGAATTCACCACACATAGCTGTATTTGGTCGTATTGATATGAAATCCTTTCGCGTGAATCGGTATTTACTAACATGTAATTGTACACTATAATGCAGCGATCGGCCGCATGTGGCCCTTTGTTCTTGGAGCTCTGGCTCCCGGGAATCAAAGTGATGACAGCAGTTTTTTGTTCGAAACATTAAGGTGATTCAAATCTGTCAGAATAAACTTTTCATTTTTCAAGTTCATTTCGTCATAGACTGAACTATTACATCATTAGTAATTTATTTGGCCTCATCTCAGTAAAACCCAGAATATTGCATCATATATGGTTTCCCGAGAGTCCAAGTTAATAGCCACCGACATTAGAGTAAATATTGCGGCTCCGGGTGGGTTTGAGTTTGACATAATGAATGACTAAAGGTTGCCGACCCGTGCTGTAATGACTTATAATCTCAGTAGCTCTTGGCACTTTAGTGGTCGCCGTAACTTCGATCAAATATCAATCTCCTATCTTTCTGAATAACAGCGCGTAACCTTGCTTTTAACGAGTATTCCCGTAAAAATACGCCACTAGATGAGTCGCGCGCTTGTAAACCTATATATATACTATGAAAATGCTATTTAGTATTTATCAGTTTTTATAATTAAATTAAATATCTGTCTACTTCCAATATTTTTTGAAATGTGTAATTTTATTTATAATATATATTTTGCAATATATGATTTTTATCGAAGCATTATTTTTGTATTGTACCAGGGTAAATAGACAAATATATATGAATAGTATGTGTTCGAATTAGGCTGTATATTGGGGAGATTCACCTTACCATCAACTCAAACTCAGGGATGTAAAAAAATTACGAATATTTTTAAAACGAAAACTTATGCGTATGCAAGCATTCTTTAAATAAATGTTGAAAACGTTTGGTGAACTTGATTTTGGAGTTTCTATGAAAATTCTGACCCCTTTTATTGTTCTTGAAAGTCTGTAATTTTGACGCCAGAGAGTTCAGACTCCTAGAAATTTACTGCGGTTAAAACATGGCAAACTCCTACTCTTGAATGACTGTTTCTTCATACGCAAAGCATTATCCTACTAGTTCACCGCGGGGATTTGTCAAGTGCGCCTCGAAAATTAACAGAAACTGTGTAAAACATACCTAATATATTATTGAATATTTTACATATTGTATTTATTATAAATTGTTTTATATCCTAAATGCCGTTCATAAGAATCAATAAATTCATTTCACCTTTCCATGGGGTTTATTTCTGCCACATAGTGTCTGCTTCTAGAGTTACGTAACAATGTAGGTATACACTACTTGATTCTATTACATGAGCTGCAGTTCATTTATCTGCTGAATCAAGTTCAGCGAACGTCATGTTTTCACGGTATTTTAAAAGAAAATCAGGCAGAGATGAAAAAGAAGAGTTGACATCGCTTTTATTCTTTAGGACCTACATTCTACAGATTAAAATGCATAAAGTACACATTAACGATTACAATATTAAGTTTCATTTGAACGGCAGCAAATTTTTCTCGTGAAGGGGGCCGTGAGTTTTTCCCTAATAATTTAACGCCGCATGAACAAAAAGTTTAGAAATCGCTGATATACATGACTTACATATAGCCGTTTTAATGCGGCATTCTTGTCTCAAAAAATTAGTAGTAATTACTCGGCGGTGTGGCACAACGTGTTAGGAATACGCTTAACACCGCATCCCTGATTAACCCTGCGTGGGTTCGCAGGTTCGTTTCCTATGTGGGGATAGTCATGTGCGGGAAAATTGCTGTAGGGTGGGTCACGTAACCCCTGGTCGGTTACAGCTTCCCCACCATCAAGCTCATGCTTCCGAAAACAATTAACTGCTAACTAATCCAATACTCGCCATGGACTGGTAACCGGACGAGAGGTCGCGGTTCGCTATATGGTTAAGCCGTCGTATCGGCTTTCATCTCCCCAGGGATAAATATGTAAATCCTATTCTAAATAGTCAAGTTCCCATCACATCTTATTGTATCCTTGAGTTTAATGTTGCCAGAATCACGAGAGAATCAGCAGCATGTCCTGTCACAGTATAGACAAAATTAGGTTGCGCAGAGAGGGGGATAATTTTTTTTTGTTTAAACCAGATAACAATACAAATAAATATACATAAAAAATGAAGATTTAAATTACCGGCGAATGACTGGGTGGTAACGATACTGGGGGTAGGGTCGCCATGGCCAGTTATCACAACAAAAAAGAATACTAAATTAATGTTTATACCAAGTTTTTTTGTGATTTTTAACAAATATATATAAGTTTTAAATTTTTTTCATAATAAAACATGTATGCTCCATGTGATTTAAAACAATAAAAAGCATGTAATATATAGAAAATCTGGCAACATAAAAAACAAATTTAAACAACACTCTTTAGCGTCTTCTACCGGGCGGTGCAAAACTCTCTATCACTAGCTGCGGCAACAAGGTTTCTAGCAACAACAAATATGTGATTAATTGCAGCGGTAGCTGGTGTTCGCGTCAGAACCTGGAAACGGTGTTTGTAAACATTGGTAAGACAGTTTATTGTTTATCGGAAGCCGGTAATTCGATCTAATTTTGTCATTTTTCATTCTCGAGGCAGGGTATGTGTCTGTAGGGGTGAATTATATTACCAGTACGGATACTAAAGCCAGAATATGGTGTTTCCGGATTGTGTACAACTGCCTGAAATACGGTATCAGTCATTCAGGACATTCGCGGTATTTTTTGTTTGTTTCTGACTCCATTACTCGTGTATCGTACCTAAGTTTATGTTTTTATTTAAATTGATTTTTTGTGTGTAGGTGTGCTGATGAGCGGCCACATGCAGACATGATACAAGCCAGGTCAATCACTTCATTTATTACGGTATAGCCTAATTCCTGAATTCCCAGAAATTTGGGCCTACGGCACAATAAATAACAAAATATTCTATTCAGCCAATACCATACCGTAACCTATTTATCTTGTTAGCCTCGAGGTTGCTTCTGTCCAGGAAATGCTGGAATGTTTTTACTCTACTGGCACCTTTAAGTTTATATTCAGTAGAGCACAGTTCTCTGATTCCAAGATGTCCTGACATTTAGTTCAAAAAAACAAACACTCAATTTGTCTCTAAAAGAAGGGCTTGTGGCATGACGGCAGACGCGTCAATCTGGATATCCAGACTGTCTTGTGAAGGAGGGGTTTGCAATTCCTTTTATAATTGATGTCTTTTATTGTGGGGGCTATTCTTGGAATTGGAGAACTGCGCTGTACTAATATTAGTCATTGGAATGCAGCATACTTCATACGGTAAGTTCTATTTGCCAATCTCAATATCCGAGTATGCTCTGGACATTATTCTCATATTTACAGAATAACTCACTTTTCGAATTCTCAAATTTATTTTACAGAATATAAATTCATTATACTGATGTTATAATCTTAATAATGCCACGTAAACTTGGCTACAGCATCGTTGGAAGCACTGGGGAATCTGAAGGCTATTCTGCCAGAAATTTGGAAGAGCATAGTCCGACTGTAGCAGGATGGCAAACCCCACGCTTCTGCGTTTATCCACAAGAGTTGATTGTTCAACTGAAAGAACCAGCAAGGCTGAAAAAACTACAACTTTTAGCTCATCAGTATCTCATTCCAACGAAAGTTGAGTTTTATATCGGGGGTGTCGATGGTTCCAGGAATTTTAAACGACTTGGTTATATATATTTATCCAGTAATGAGAAAACTGGTTACAAATCGAGGGAATTGAAGTCGGTTCATGTTGATACAGAAGGCACAATGCTGAAGCTCGTTTTGCATAAAAACCATTTAAACAAATTTAACTTGTATAATCAGGTTAGCATCATGGCTTTCAATATTATCGGCGATTTACAATCTGATCAAAATGAGCTGCGAAATAGCGGGAATTTCTTAAACGACAGTCCACATAAAAATCCTGATTATATATCTCCGATGGATGATTTGGCCTTTGACCTTTATCAGGACCCAGAAGTTGCAAGAATTATCCGGCGTTTGGATACGCAAAAAAATGAGTGTGTCAGACTAGAAAATTTTGACGCTGCTAAAAAGATGAAACAAGCGATTGCAGATTTACGAAAAGTTGGTGAAAAACTTGCGAGGTACGAACTAGATAAAAGAAAGGCCGTGGAAGACGAAGATTATGATCTTGCAAAAAGCAAGAAAGCACAAATGGAAGAATATCGTTTAAAAGTTTATCAACAATTACGTAATTACGGCCTTGTTGAAGAAGCTGGGATCCCACATTACTTTGAAATGGAAAACCCTCTTCCTAGAGATTCTTACCAGCGTGAAGAGCCTCCACGGCATCAACATTACGCTGCAGAAGATCGCCAGCCTTACGCACAACCGGACACTGTGCCAAATACAGCGCTATCTCCTGTGGCTGAAGCATCGAGCGTTGTATCTCCAAGACAAACGGAGGATGGCACTCTCAGTCCACAAGCATCCCAACATCCTCATCATGAATTGGAACACACACAAGAATTACATGATGATAGTTTTCAAAGTATTGCTTCCCCGAGAACTGATGTCCGTGCATCATATGATGATAAAATTATTCCTGCGTTGAACAAGAAAAATGCCCCTCCAGCTGAAGAACCACCATTGGACACCGACACTTTACCTCCAGGGGCGGAAAGAAATGTTCCAAGCGGAGAACCAGAACCTATGTCAGAAAAAAGCATTCGAGAAGCGTCATCAGCTATTGATGTTTTTGGTTTGCCTTTGATTTCAGGAGCGTATTCAAAAACGTTTTCCTTTCGAGAAGATGCTCTTTTGGCGATGTATAAAAAGCTGAAAGAACTACCACCTGATACCAGTAAAGATCAACTTAAAGCATATCTTCGAGCTACGGTCTTCATCTTAAAGCGTCTAATACGAGACAAGGTTCATTCCGTGTTCACAGCTTCTTTACAAGTACTGGAACTTCTTCTGACATTCTTTATTCCCCAGCACCATCTTGGGAAGAACGACCTATCGTATACGATCAATCAGACTTTGCCGAAACTCATTCAAAAAACTGGAGAATCTGTAGCAAGAGCACGTGGCACTGCACTCGACTTTATCGACAAGATGTCTGTATTTCCGAATGTCCGCGCCACTCACATTCTGCCGCATACTGTTGTGCAACCTTTCGGACACGACACTGCAACACGTTTAGCGCAGAGTCGAGTTGAAATTGTGAGCAGGATGATTAAATCTTTAGGGTTAGAGGCACAGGCATTTACAGCTGAGGTTGTAATGGATTTCTGTATGCCAGCTTTGGAACACAATTCGGGCGCTGTTCGAGATGCAACATGCCAAGTTATTTATCAAGTGTATCGTCTCGCGGGCGCAGTTGTAAAGAGTAAATTACCACCGGACGAGCCTTCTACTCGGAAAAATATCATGTATCGAAATATCTTTGACGAAATGGATAGAATTGATGGTAAACCCACAAAAGCTGAATTGAAAGCACAACGAGAACGTGAAACGAAAGCGAACGAAAAGAAAAAACAGGCTGAAATACAAGAACTTCAATCACAAATTGAACAACTTAGAAACGTTAATGCAAAAATACAACCTCAGAAAGATACTGGGAAAAAGCAACAGCCACAGGCAGAAAATCAAGCCGCACCGAGCGAAAGTCAAGATGGTGACGATACATCAGCTTATTTAGATCGCTTGTGTATATTTTGCGGAGAACATGACGAAAGTTTCAATGATGAAGGCCTTGATCTCCATTACTGGAAAAACTGTCCAATGTTAAAACGTTGCGAGCATTGCAAACAAGTCGTTGAAATATCAACGTACACCGATCATTTGATTTCCGAATGCGATAAAAAAGGCTCGTTTGGAAAATGTAGCAGGTGTTCGGAAGCGATCAACCTTCCTGACCTTCAAAAACATGTCGCCGATAAAAAATGCTTGATCAACAAAGCAGATAAGCACTCAAGGTGTCCGATGTGTCACAAGAACATCCAACTAGGAGAGGAAAGTTGGAAATCCCATCTTATGGGGTCAGGAAGAGACGCTTGTCAAGAAAATCCAAGACGAGTACCATCGCTTAACAGATTGAAAGGAAAATCGGAGCAATCTAAAACGGCTGGAAATGCTTCACGAGGAAGAAAGCCCACAGCAGGGAAGCATTAGATTTACTAATATAATGTTATATTAGAAAAGTAGTTTTTTGTTAATAATGAATTCATATCACTGTGGCATAATATGGTGTGTCTTCACCATTCAAAATACATTATTATTAAAAGAGCGGATTCAGTGGCTTTACCATTCGTTTGCGGCAAAAAAGCTGACTCAGAACTCCACAGTGTTGAGTCTGTGACATAATATGGTGTGTCTTCGCCATTCAAAAACATTTGTACAAAGTGAATTCAAAGAGAAATCTTGTCTGACTTTGAATCAAAATTTGACCCGGGATAACAAAATAATTTGCTTCCTCACACTTATATGCTGGTGGAACTTTCTTGAAAACTTGCCGTGAGAAGACCTTGATCAATTGGTGGCTCTAGCATTCGATAACGACTTGCAACTCCACAATAATGTGTCGAGTTGAATCAGATCTATAATCTAATATTACAAATGTTTTTACTGCATTCTCTGTTGGACTCGCATTGAAACATGCTGTAGTGTTGTTTCGGTTGAATTGGATAGTTTATCGTGTACTATTTTACGTAACTATGTCTGGCCTTTCTGTTCTATTTGCTGCAAGGCATATGAAATATAACAAAAATGTGTTTGTGATAAAGGGCAGCAAGGCTCTTAAATTACAGCATTACTGCTGGGTGGTGAAGGGCATGAGAAGTGAACAGGGGACATGTGTAAGCTGCGTCGCTTGGGATTCCAACACAGTTAAGTCCAATTAGGTCATCGCATTGGAAAATCATTTTCAAGATTTTTAATTGTTGAACAATGGTGTGTATACTTTGAATGATGATTCTGTTTAAATTTTAAATTTAACATATTTTGCACTTTTTTTTGTTACTATCTTTATTGTTTGTTCCAGTGTTGTTTTTACTCTCACCATTAACATTACACATTTAGGGTAGGGATCACATACACTGAAATGGATAGATTTCATATGTATTCTTTTCTGAACTTGCTTGTTTATTGTTGTGGGCTCTTGTTTATCTCAAAACAGAATAGAGTAATTTTTATTATTAGTTTAGAATAAACTGAATATTTTGGTTTTCAAAAATAGTTTAGGAATGTATTTTGGATGATAGATTCTTCGATTAAAATTTGCCATTTTTGTAAATTAAGCATGAATTAGCCTATTTCAAATCAGAAATCTGTAATATCTATCCCCGCAATATTAAGTCTGGTAAAATATCTCTCACATTGCTGTAAATATTGCTACCAAGGCTGAAAATAATTTTTATACGTTATATTTATGCACCTTTTGCTTTAAACAATGCTCTGCACAGGAGCTCCCATGACCCACTGTCAGTTCAAGAGCCTGGTTCGGCAGTTCGGCCTACCCAGTTTATTATGACATGGAATTTGAAATCAATATTTTCACTTGTGATGCAGTGTCAAAGGTTTTGACCACCACGCTCACAAAAATACTTTTCAAAATCAAGCAAATAGTTATCATATAGTCCGAAATTTCTGTTAAATTTATAGTTTTAGAGCAATTGAAGTTCCATCAGTATACCATAAACTATAATTTATTTTAAATTATAGTAAAAGTCTGATAGGCAATATAGATGAAATATAATAGGCAAATATTAAAGTTTACTTCATACCAAATCTCAAACATCTTTTTTTAAACGATTCCTATTTATGCCTTTTGCCCCAATCTCAAGACTCTCTGATATCCAACAATATGTAAAAATACCTTACATCAAGAAATAACAAGGTAGTGTGTATTGGGAGATATAGTTTTATGTTTTATAAAATGTTTTGAATAATTTGTAAATATCCATGCTCCTCCCTCCGATCAAGACTTCAACAATATGTGAAAATATCTCAAATATCTTACATCAAGCTGGTGTGTATTGGGAGAAATCGTTTCATGTTTTTTAAAATGTTGAATAATTTGGCAAGCACTAACAGTTCATATATTTCTGTATTATTCATTCAATTTTTATTTGTACAGTTTTGTAGTTTAGTTTATCCTTCTTGAATTGTGTTATAAATATTCTTAAAAAGTATAATTTGGTAGACATAATTGATTTTTTATTTGATGGGCTTGGTTGTTTCAGGTGCACGCTGTTAAAGTTTTTAGCTAGATTCATAGGAAAGACATATTAATGACAATTTTCAGTTTGACGATTATTCCTGTATTTGGAATGGACCAAAACCTAGGAATGTGTTTGTCTCTTTTTTTCGTCAAACCCGTAAAATACATGCTTTACATAAATCTGATACTTGTGAATGGCCAAATTTATCGCTAGTCATCAGCCACATTGCAGGTTGCAGGCAATTTTCTGTGCTCGTCTAACATTCCAAGAACAAGTTCGCTTCAATTCCCCGAGTCCATCACTGGATCCATCACCATATGATAAAGTTTTAGACTTCACCCCTAGTTGTCAGCTACAGTGCAGATTAACAATTTGCTGCACAACGAACACACAAACAGGGTTTGTTGATTAATTCCAAGAAGGGTTTTGATTCAATTTCCTGGATCTCGCAACTGGATAAACCGGTAGATCACAATATGGTAAAGTTATCGAACTCCACTATCCTCACCATCAAGAGAAATATGAATATTTTTATCCTACTTTTTCTCTGAATGAGCAGCCAATATTAGGCTAGGCACACTTGTATATTGCTTTTGGTGAGTCGGTTTGCGCAAGATTACACAAATTCACCATCCTGAATGAGGTGAAATGTAGCCCAATATTATTTATAATTTGTTGTTGTGAAGTTGTTGCTGTAGCTACATTGGAAAAGCTGTCTGTTTAATTTATGCATTTAACCCGGTATATCAGTGTTGCTCATCCTATGGGTCGTCTGAAAATATTCTTGGGTTGTTTTCGTTTATTTTATATTTGGTATTGTAGTATTGCACAATTGTTATTTTTGTAAGCAAGAGAAATCACAGCATAAAACCAGCATCTATTTGACTTGAGGAAACCCACGTCACGATTTCAAAGACCTGCTAATGGCTAACAAGCACAACTTACCGTACTAACTACTAGCAATTAATTTTCTGTTGGATTACATATTATGTAGAAATGACTATTTTGTAGAAGCCATTCAATTCTGTGGCCATAAAAGCACTACATACCATTCAGTATATGAGGATATAATTGGGTCACAAGATTTAATTTTTTGAATTTGGGTCAATTGAAAAAAGATTTGGGAACCACTGCTATATATAAATATCAAGCATACCCAAATTCTATTACTTTTTCATTTCAGAAATTTGGCAGATAGCAAATTCCACTGAGGAGGTTCAAAGATCAAAATATCTGATAAATTTGTCTAAATCGCTTGCATCCCCAAAATATCATCCCAAGTATTGTTTTTAAAACAATCATAATTGGAAGGATATCAAAAATTGAGAGTAGGATCCATAATTATGGAAAAGCAAGTTTAGAAAAACAATCACACGTTTTTGTTTTATTATTCTAGTGTGGTATGACTCATATATTTGTTGAATTAGTTTGATGTATACACGGTACTGCCTTGGTTGTGAAAGTCATTGACAATCATGGAGCAATATTTGATCATAGTATGTCAAATACTCAGACAAAAAAAGTCTCGTTTGAAGAGGGGTCTTCAGAAGGGCTGTTCAAACAAGGCAACAAACAGCTTTAATTAAATACTCAATAAGTGGTTAAATTCTAAATGGCAGATATCTCGCCCTTTTCCTCGTAGATCAGATTATTTCCTTCTTTGGATCAATATTCTTCATGTGGATATGGCTGATATATTTACGAACCTGTCTCCTGCTTTTTATTGATATCTATTTCCTGTACATAACCTAGCTGTTGTGGTGACCAGTGAAGGGTTCACTAATACAAGAAGTACAGGATGTCCAGATGATATTTAGGTAGTCAAAAATTCTCTAAATATACTGATATATTGATTGCTCGTTCTAAAATTTAATTGTTTGCTAGGTTAAAATAATGACTCAATTGACCATATTGCATTGACATTGCTAAGAGCTTAGGGTAGACCTTTTTCCAGCCCTTCCTATCCATAGAAGAAACCTATGTATTGATTTAGGTACTCCTGAAGTATGCGTACCAAGATTACAGACACCGAAACGTAAGAGTTGGACCGTAATTTTGGGTACAAATACTACAGGAGTGACTTGGCTAGTCCCAAACTCGTAATAGAACTAAAATATGGGAACCTGGAATAGAATTATGGTCTAACCCATGGATTCCCAAGCTTTTTTCAGGACGGCCCCAAAGACAAGTGTCCAGTGCGACCCCAGTTCAAGTTTCACTGGACTTCTGAGTTTGGTCAGGTGGTGGTATTAAGTAAACTAAGTTAAAACCAAATGGTGATGTCACAATCAGCACCTACATTTTCTATAGCATAGAGCGATGCCTATGGGCCTGTTTTACAGTAAGCCCTGGTACAAACTGCTAAATTTAACATGGTTTGTCAAATCTTAGATGTTTTGTACATCCATACTTCAGCGACCCCATGACCTGTTTGCGACCCTACCTACTTATCACTCCGACCCAATTTGGGGTCGCGATCCCTGGTTTGGGAACCCCTGGTCTAACCCTAACTTGGTACAGCTACTATGTTCCGTTGTCCGCCACTTGACCCATGTAGATAAAAAAGAAACTAACAAATTAAACTCAGATTCTCTCAATAAATCCATATCTATCAATAGTCAGGGTCCTTGTGAAATTTAAGCACCCTACCACCCTTCTCCACCCTAATGTAACAGGAGATAAGAACACATTTACAGCAATAAAATACCAAAATCCATTTTATAATTCATCAAATATATATTTTCAACATAAAATCCAGTAGCATATTAAACGTTGTAGTCTGAAATGGTAAAGCAGAGGTGGAGGTGAATAATTTAGATCTATATAATTAGTTCTGAAATTTCCTACAAATTATTTAAATGCTGCTTACCGGGATAGTATTAGCAAATACTTCTCGAATTAAAATAAAATCAGAGTGAAATTGAGTGAAACAAATTTACATTTGCTATATTGAACCAATAAGTAATTGATTGAAGTACATAAAATTAATTGTTTCAAATTCTGCACAAATTCATTAAACACTGTTTTAGTAAATGAATAGAAAATTTAATACCTCAATTCACTGAAAAATAGATCAATTGAAAACACCTAAATTCTAAAAAAACAAAATTTTTTGGAAAGACAGGGAGGAAAGGGGGACAACAATCAATCAAAAATGAAGGGTTATTTTTGGGACTGTGCCGGGGAAGAAAATGATGAAAAACGGTAAAATTGAGAAACGGGGAGACAAAAAATCAAAACGAAAGTTAATTTTGCGACTGTGCTCTCGCTTGTTCGATCTTCTTTTTAACACCGCTAATACTAAGCGTTAGTTCTGCATGAGTTCTCTTTAGTTGATCAAGGCGGTGACTTAGATCGGCAATTTCGTCTGTGCCTTCTTCATAGTCTCGGAGAAGAAGTCGATTTCCAAGCAGACCACATTTTTGTTGTAATTTTGAATTATCATGACGTAATGCATCCCTCGCTTGTTTTGTACGAGAGAGTATGTCACGCTTCCCCGCAACTTCTGCTTCAATATGTGCTAGCTCTTGTTTGGATACCTGGTTTTCTCCTTGTACAAATTGTAGTTTTTCTTTCAAATGTGTCAAAACTTGTACCGTACTTGTTATCTTCTTTCTGAGTTTCATAAGCTCTTCATTACGCTCTTCAATTTTTTCATTGTAAGTTTGGTTCTCGATTTTCAGTTGCTCAAAATCGATGAGATGTAATCCTTCAGCTAGTTCTTCTTTTTGCTTCAACTGCAATTCTCGTTTTCGTAATCGATTCCGCAACTTTATATTCTCAAGTCGAACTTGAGAAACTTCAGCTTCTTTTTTGACCTCATTAATCTCGTAAATTTCAAATTCTTTCTGGGTCAAAGGTCGTCCGCTTCGGCTGTTTACAGAAGCAAGAGCAACAGAACGTTTGAAATTTGAGTATTCATTCCATTCTTGTTCGACTAGTTTCTGTTTCACAGCTTTACGTTCTTTCATTTCCTCTATTTGTTCGTCGTACGACTCTCTTTCTGCTGTCTCTTGGTTTCTAAGCTCTTCTAAATTACTGATGTATTTCATGTATCTTTGTTCTTGGTCTGTAACATTGCGATCAACTTCTTGTCGGTTGTCTTCTGTCTTTTTACGTTTAAAATATTCCGCTAGTTTGTTTTGTAGAGCGTGATTTTTCTGATTCAACATTTCTCGTTCTTGTAAAGCTTTATTGTATCTTTCGATCAGTTCTTCTCTGTTATATCTCGGGATTTCTTCCTCCTCTTCTTCTTCTTCAAAGATGACGCCTCGCTCCTCGGACTCTCGTTTCGGAGAGTCTGGCCTAATTTCTTCAGGTCCTTCCAAAGGGGGTTGTGGGCTTCCTTCTCTTGATAAAACTTCACCGGTAACATCAAGCGTCGCTTCGTCTTTTTCCCCAGCATCGAAATCCTCGTTTTGAGGCAAAGGTGTTTCCGTTTTTTCTGTTTCCTCTTCAGGTTTTGTTTCTGTTACTGGTTCTTCACCTTCAGGTGGTACTTCGGTTTCTGGCTTTTCTACTTCACCTTCTACCCCTTCTTGTTTTTGTTCCTCCTGAGGTGCAGCATCCCCTGCAGCCTCCTCTGTACCTTCAGGAGCCTGTTCAGCAGCGGCTTCAGCAACTTCTGCTGGTTTTTCCTCCCCTTCCTCTGGAGTATCAACTTTCTCACCCTCCTGTTCTTGTGGTATTTCCCCTTCTTCTTTGACTTCTACCTCCTCTCCTTCTGCTGGTGGAGCATCTGCTTCTTCAGTGACTGCTGCAGGTTCATCTGTAGCAGCAGGCTCTGCATTTTCAGCAGAATCCTCCGCGGGTGCAGGTGGGGCTTCCTCTGCAGCGGGAATTTCTTTATTTTCTTCATCAGCCATACTGTTAGATTAAATTTTGATCTGGGAAAAGAAAAGATAAAAGTTCACTCATTCAATGGGTTTTACAACAATCGTGATATCAATATATATATATATATAATGCAGTGGTTCTCAACCTTTTACTGACCGCGTACCACTTCACTGTTTTTTATTATGGCCACGTACCACCGACAAAGCCCCTTTTCAGCGTTGGTAAAAAAGATACAGGAAACGTGCCGTGGGAGTATTATAATGTAGCACTACATTCTTAATTGTCTTCGTTTCCCGGACTTTCAAAATCTCATATTTTGTTCTGCGATACAGCTTATTTTAGCCAACTGAAAGGTTAATTGTTGCAATAATTCAAAGTTGCTCGCGTACCATGGGTTGAGAACCACTGATATAATGCAACATTTGTATAACTGCAATGTGAAATGCAAGGATGTTGTAGCAAAGTAAAGTTTACTTTCATTTGTTGCATACTAACTCAAATGAATTTCTGTGAAGACAACTACATATCCTTCTTCCAAACAACTGTGCCAGTGGATCATGTTCTGCGAGGATGCGTTCTTACTTTATAAAATCTGTGTGTGTGTGAAATATTTTATTAATTTTGGGTGAGTGAGTTCAATCAATCAATTTTATTTCGGTCACTCTGGTATAAAACGAAACAACAATAAACGATCAGTTTTTCTCCATTCTATATTATATTATGTATGTTTAAAACCTTATCTGAGGTTAGTTCTCCTGATTTCATAATCAATTTTCTATTTATTTGTTAATAGGTGAGTGAACATGTACCACTTCTTCTTGGCAATACCTTCCATTTTATATTCTGTACGTTTTAAACCTTATCTAAGGTATTGTTTGCACCCCTGATTCCATAATCAGTTTGCATTTATTTGTTTTTATCAATCGTTCCATTGCCAGTTATGCTGATCATGGAGTAAAAATAAACTTATACTATTACAAAACTGAATGGAATAACGAGACAAATACTTGCAATATATTTTAAATCTTGAACTTAACCTGTTATCAGGCATAAATCATTGTGAAGTGGAATGTCAGAATGTGTATTTAAATGGGAACAACTTCGATCGTCTACTTATTTCATTCAATTTTCTAGTTTAATTGAATTTTTCTCTGCATAACGAGTTCAGTAATTTTAGAGGATTCATAACTCGCTTGTCAGGCCTGGTTACTTTCCGTTGCCACGCTTTTTTTCGTCCTTTTCAAGACTGTCTGGAAACTTCAAACATAAAAGTATTAATTGTAGTGACACAGTAAGTATTCCTAACTGCTACCACATCTAAAACAGAACCACCTTTCGTGTCTTTGATAGAAAAAGATAAAAAAAACTTCAATACAAGCGAAATTCCTACATTCGCCGCGACGGAAACAGTTTTGCTTACGTTGCTATAACAACAAAAGGTCATGACAACTGAACCGGAACGCTGGTTCATACTTCGTTTTTTTCTCTTGTGTTTGGACTTTTGTGGAGTTTTTTGTATGAAGTGCTTGTGTAGAAAATTTTACTTTACTTCAGAATAACACAATTAACAGTTACCGAATATTTGCACCTGGAAAAATTGATTACCGGTAACCCTCATCTGGCTGGTGATCCGATCAGAGAGAGGTTCGTGGTTCGCCATATGGTTGAAATTTATTATAAACTTTCCTCCCCCCGAATTATTACAAAAACACCCCATTTTTCCGGCATATCCAACTGAGATCGCTCATGGACTTCTATCCAACACTGGAAGGAAACGGAAATTAGAGGGTTTATAAGCTATTGCATATGGCTGAATGCAATAATTTTTTGAAGAAAATGCAAATTGAACAATACCTAACTAATGGTAATGTTTTTTCTCCGGATCCTACATGAATTGGGACTTTGATTTCAGTTTTATTTATAACGAATGATGCCTTTGAAATACGCTGTTCGTAAAATAAAGAAATACAGAAAAGGATAGGCCTACCTGCCCTGAAACTCGGCTACATAATATCGCAATTTACATTCCCTCGGCGGTAATCAGTCCATGTCGGATACGAAAAACGTAAGGATAGGATTTGCATATTTACCCCGGGAGATTGGACTGATAATCGGCAAACCACTTTCTATCCTTTACTTATCAGTCCGAAGACCGAAGAAGTCACTGGAAGGAGACTATATTACCTTCATTTCGTTTTTCAGTCTATAGGCTCGATATTTCACCAAAATTTTCTTATTTATCGCCGATTTCTCGGTGCTCGTTAGGACTTTTTAAAGGTGGGGGTTCCAAAATGGGAATCAAAATTTCTCTCGCAACGGCTTCTAAAGAGGCGTTCAATAGCCTTTCAAATAAACTTGTTCATCGTAACTCGACTTTGCGTCGACGTACCGTAAAATTAAATAACTAAATTCTAAAAAAAAACTACGGCATTCTGCGGACATAAAACACACGATCAACCACCCGATTATAAAAAGATTGGATTCGGATTTTTGCGACCTTGGAATTTGTCAACTTTGAGATGCCGTTGGAAAAATTCCAGAGTCTGTGTTAGAATCTTGAGGAGTACAAATGCGCAAAGTACTCAATTCATGGTCGATATGGGCATATGTATTGCTATATTATCTAATCGTGTGCAATGTAACCTGCTGTTTCGTTGAATAAAAATATGAAAGTATCACTACCCCGAAATGCCGCGACCATTAAAATTCATGACAATTTTTCCGATTACATTTTGTTTCGATTGTATTTCCCGGTAAACGGTAAAGTTTTCAAAGGCAACCCAACACTTTTAGGCACCAAATTTTGGTCGCAATGAATAAACGCATTTATAATCTGTCGCGGGTCTACTAAAACAAAAATTATGGTGTTTTCTTTCGTTTTAATATTAGTATTTTACAATGCCGCTCTTCAATCAAAACACTTTGGTTGTGCATTTACTCCTTTATTATCTTTAGCACCTCGTCGCTGATGATCATGATGTAATAACTCGTTTTTAACAACAAACTAACAATTCCGTCGAAAACAGAGAGATAAATACCAACATAACACCATTTACCCAAATTCCATCGCACGCGTGATTAGGGACATTTTCAGTCTTCCAAAACATAAATCCCCGTCTGGAGTAGCCAGAGCTCATGTTTTGTTTCATTTTGGTTGAAGATTGTTTCTAATCGTTTACGTTAATTATATTTTATTCTTAATTGTCTTCATTTTCCGGACTTTCAAAATCTCATATTTTGTTCTGCGTTATCAGAATATGGGGATAAATTGTATTTGTATAAGACTTGTTCTGCGGTCGAGGAAAAGCCGGGAAACATTTATTAAATCAAGGCAAGCAATCACAGGTCATCCGTCGACCACTCGAATGTATATGAAAGATAATAGAAGGCAGTTATATTCTGACTGATATTATATAATATGATTTGTTTTCAACTTTGCCTTTTCCACTCCCTTTGATTTTTTGACTAGAAATAACTACATAACACAAAGACGGCGGAACGCATCGAAAAATATTCCTTATTGAGCTGATTTTGTGCGATTGATCGAAGTTATGGAACGAACTGAGCAAAAACTGAAAGTTATATTCAACTAATTTTCAAAGTAGCAATAATAATCCCGGTTAGCCAGGACAGTCCCGATTGATTTTGACAAATTCCAGGGCAGTAGGCCCAAATGTTTCAGTCATTTAGTACGGCAGTCATAAATATCTTTCTTATTTAACAGTAATACAGCCTGTTCCCCTAATTCCACCGATGCTAATTCCACTTATGCTATTCGATTTTATTTAAAAGTCCAAACATTTAAGATAAATGGGCTTGACAGCGAATAAAACTTCATTATGAAAGCACTGGATATCATCCATATATTTCCCCGAGAGTAGAATTCGTCCTGACGAATCCCCGTTCTTATACTGTACATGGGGATTGAAAATTACCAGTAGCGGCTGCGCGACTGTATATCACCGAATCTCGCGCTAGGCGAAAGTCGGGACGTTTCTGATCGTACCGCACAGTAGACTAGGTTAATTGAGGTGCGGTTCTGTAAAAGATTTGATGCTACATTGGGAAATTAATCATATGGTATATTCATTCACGTTAAGACTATACGTATGGTATAGAATAGATTAGCATATCCCAAACTTTGTTCTGCGGAGCACTAGTGTTCCGCGAGCGTCTTCCGAGTGTTCCGTAGAAAAGTGGTCAATTTTACAGCTAAATTGTTCGCCACGGCGATCTCGGGATCGTGAAGTTGTCGCCCCACTCCGTTCAATATCGCGTCTCCGTCGATCAAAGCGGACTAACTTTTTGAAGGTAGTGGCATTTGCGTCGGCATAAAAAGTAAATTGAATTTATTGCTTATCTACACAGGATTTAAAATAAGAAACAATATGATGTAATAAGCAATATGTGAAATATTCAATCATATTTTAGTTGTGTTTAACACAATTCTGTTAGTTTTTTAGTCATCGTATCTATATATTTGGGCATTTCCCTCTTGTTATTTCGAGTAAGCTTAAGTAACAGTGCATAGGAAACGGTTATTGCCACGCTCTTCAATTTTTCGTAGAATTCCATTTGATGAAATACGATAAATAAAGTATCATATTTCGCGCACGTTTTTCTAGATATAAACATTCTATTTCCATCACCTCGACACCAACATTTAAGAACCAGTAACTCAAATATCTGCACAGAACAAGCGACTAAGTCATGCCAAACCACAAAAAAATAAGTACGTCTCTATATTTCATATATATATGCTATATTTCTGTATTCAGGTTTCAGAAAGTTATTATTTCTTTTGACATAAATGAACGTGAAAACGTCTTAGTTTGTCACGACTGCCAAACTCTGTTTTTCAGATTTTAAACAAAGCATAGCTGCAATCAATGCAACACACTGTGTATTCGTGGCTCCCGAAGTATGTGTACAAAGATGGCGCACAAACTGAATATATTTTCGTTACTGTGTAGCGTACCGATAGCCTACTTACTAAAGGTGGATGCGTGGTTTTGACAGAGGTTTTTAAAAAAGGCCCCCTAATGTAAAATCTGTGAATTTAAAGTTGACAAAATCCCAGCTATGGTCTTCGAGGTCACAAAAATATGGTAATCATGATCTGATGATACTTGAAACATAAACTTAATGTTCCTATTGTGACATCATATATCAGTTGTGCCGTTACTGACATCCTAGCCCTAGCGTAGCAGTGCATTTCATCGTCTAAATTCGGCCTTGATTCGTTCCAAGATGTGTACGGTAGGTTGCCGCCGATCAAAGTATAATCTCCATTATCGTGTTAACGCACTTGTTTTTGCCGAATTTAGGCAGAGAGCGGGCCCCTTCCCCAACTGCTTTTGGATTGAATTTCGCCCTTGAGCTATGCTTCATGATTTTTCTTGCCTTTTTCACTCAAACCGTCTCCCTGATATCTCGGATAAAAATTCCTGTTAAATCTTATGACTTTGGTGTAGGTACTAACTTGGCGACATAGTTACGCGATGAAAGTTAAAGTCAAAGCAAGAATTTTTCTTACATATTTGAAATTATTATTCCGGTAGTTGCAAAAACTCACCATCTTGGCATAGTTTCACTGCGGTGCAAGGGATATTTCATTGGAAAATCCAAAAGATACAGAAAATTTTTGATTTAAAATAACCTCTACTTTATCGGTCGAATCGTAGTTTCAATCGCGATAAAAATATTCGGCAAGTGTCAAAATTCCGCACGGGTTTCTTCTGTATACCGATATTCGAAATATGAACTCAGTATGCGAGTGTTGAGTTGTTTTTCATCTCTAACCTCAAAGTATTGAGCTAGTTTCCCTTTTTTAACTACTTGTGAGTGAAAATTGAATTTTTCATCCATCTTTAGATATTTAATATTAGGTAGATATATGGGTGCTCCAGAAGTATGTGCACCAAGATGTCACACAGCCTGAATCCTAACCGGTACACTATATACACATACTATGTTCAGGTCGTGCGCCATCTTGGTGCACATACTTCTGGAGCTCCGATATATGTGGTATAATATACTCTGCCAGCCTCCACTAAGTTCAAATATGCCTACTTGTCCGGGGGCCTTACTCTAAGAGTGAATATAACAAACTTGGAAGAAAAGGGAAATTATGGTACTATTTTTTATCTGAACCTTTTTTTTTTGAAAAAGAATAAGTAGTACCGGTATATTCATGTATAGTAGTACAGTGCAACTAACATTAAGACCAAATTTGGAAAATATATCTTTTTGTCTAGCGACTTGATCAGGTCGAAATAAAAAACATTTATAGAAACTTATGAACAATTTTGCAAAAAAAACTCCTAATACACCTGATCTAGTTTGATATCCATTTACGTATCAGTAGAGAAAAGTTGATACAAAAATCAATGTAAAACACTGAACACACATAAAAAGGCGCCCAGGAAGTATGTGTACCAAGATGACGCACAACCTGAACCCCAACCTTGGGAATGGGAGCCTGGTTCTATCACACTGATTATTTATTATACAGATGCTACAACAATTAAACAAAATATCACACAGAATTAAAAGTAAATTCAAATCATAAATGTTTTTGACTGAAGTCCTGTTAGATTAGGAAGACCAAAGTGTCATGTTGGTAATTTCATTTTATACCAAGCTCTTCAATGAAATATTTCACTTTCACAGTAATTAAAATAACATATCAAGAAAAAGTTAAGGCATATAAATACAGGGCTCAATGAGAATTTGAAAAATAATTTTTATCATGAGTTATTATTCGCTTTAAACATGACAAACAATAACCCTGATTGGTAAAGCAGATTTACATAAAAATAACCATTTATAATGGGTGTTTTATCCACAATGTCATACTCAAAAGTTCGAAAAAAAAGACAAAAATTAGAAATATTTTCCACTTGACCATTCTGTAAGCGCTCAGAATAATAAATTGTTTTATTTTTCTGCCAAAATTTGCTATCAATAATTAGCTGTAGATGCATTAGGTTTGAGACATCACACACAAACAGCACATTCAGTTTGAAAATAGACATCTATCAAAAACAGTGGATCTCAAACATTATGTGGTTACGAAGCCCTTATGCCCCTTTTAAGTAACTACGAAACCCCCTGTAATTTTCAGACCTAAAATGAATTAGAGAACATAGCATAGAGATATTTAGATAACATTCAAATTAGCTGCCACTCCTTGAATTTGAAACACAAATTGCTTACTGGGTTATTGCAACAAAACGAAGCCTATTAGTGTGAAGGATGTGCTTGCGGCTTAGCACGTATTTGTTTCATTCTTAGGGTTCGTATGTGGAATTGCGAATCTTACAGTACTGATAGTCTGAAAAGATCGCTGAAATGCGGTCATGGAACAACGGCACGATGCAAATTTTTTAATTTTGGTTCAGCTACAGAAAATTTTTAAGGGATTGATCCTGTAGTTAACGAGAAAGGCTATTTTTTCACAACAAGAAGAAGATAAATACAAAACGAACCATAAGTCCATTTCATGTCCAATAAGTAAAGTGAAATTCAAAGAACTAACTGACACGATAGTGCCAAAAACAATGTAAGCCTATAACGCCAAAACTGAAGGCAGTTGACCCCCACCCACCCTGCCCGATAATGCTTTGCAGACCCCAGTTTGAGAACCACTGATCTAAGAGAAATATAAAAAAGTAAATTCAAAACCTCCTAAATGTGGGGATTCCCTATTAGTTTATATAAATATATAATCTGACATTGGTTAATATCAGAAACCCTTTGAATATGCGGACTATTTACTTTGCTCTTTTTCAATCACATATCCAATACGCCTTAGCTGCATGGGGCTCCGCTACTCAAACTAGCTTGCGTAAATTAGAGATTTTACAAAATAGGGCTGTTAAAATTCTCTCCGGAGCACCAGTTCGTTCAAACATAAACACCCTATATCATAAAGCCAGGGTGCTAAAATTGTCTGACATCTATAAATTAGAAATTTCTAAGATTATGCACCAGTTCCACAACAACCAATTGCCTGCAGCTTTCGCTGATTATTTCACTGTTCTCAGTAATGTGCATGAGCATAACACACGCTCTTCGACAAAATCGAATTTTTTTGTTCCCAGATTTTCGCTAAGCAAGTCCCAAAACTCCTTGAAGTATAAGGGTGTTGTAATTTGGAATAGTATTCCCCAAATCTTACGTGCTCTTCTTATGAAACTTTCAAAACAAAATATAAAAAATTCTTGCTGTCACCTTACCAGTCTGCTGTGATTGCATCCAAATGATGTGGCCTCGGCACTCTTTCCCGCTTGCTCCGCTAGGCCTATACCTGTAATAATAATACTTTTTTTTTTTTTTCAATTTTTTCATGTCCTTATCTTATTGCATTCTTGCCAGTGATTTGAATTATGTAAAGTGTGCCATGCTAATTGCATGACCTGTATTTGTTCGTAACCTGCACAATATAGTAAACTACTTTTCTTATGTTTGAGATGGTTCATGAAGCTTTGTACGAATTTAACCACATTGAAATTCTAAGCCCATCTGCTCAAGATCTTGGTCAATTAGCATAACATTGTGACTTGTTTTCTCTTGCAGTCAGTAAAGCCTAAATTGTTTATCTGATTGTCATTATACTCTTATATAACATTGTAAAAGTATTACCTGATAAATAATATTTTTTTTATGTACTTTTAAACTTTGCTTCATTGGTTCACTCAACTATTAGACTACGGTACTTGACTCTTCTTAGTTTTGCTGTTTCATGTCTTGTAGTCTATCTAGTTTCCCACTGTGAATGTTGATACTAGGTTACATTCGTTTTGAATGACTGTTATGGAATATCTTTCACATTTTGATATTTCATGTCTTCCCTGATTTTATATTTCCTGTAACGTTATGTGAAGCCCTGACTCCAGCTGCCAATCACTAGATCCCATTAACAGGTACCTCAATTCCTTTCTAGCATAAAGGTATGGTTTATTCGTTGCTGATCCTGTTGTCGCCCTCAGCAAACCATGGGTTCCACTGTAACCAATAACCATGCGCCATCAGAATTTGACATTTATTGCCCATTGTTAGCTAATGGGCATCACAATAGCATTGTTGTGATACAATCCACTAACGCCATCTCCATGGCTACCGAATCAGTGGTGTTCGGAGTTGTCTTTTCTTTTGTTGAAGCCTAAGTGACTATTATAGTCACTTTGGTTGAAGCGAGCGACTGCTGGTTACAGCAGATCGTCTCGAGATATTTTATGTATTTTTTTCCTCAATTTATTTAAACTTAGTTCGTTTTTTTGTTTTTTAAATTATAGTGTTAGACTTATTTTATAGGTGCCGCTGCTCGATAACCAGTATTGGTTTCTCGCGTCTCCTTCACCCTGAAATATGGCCAATTTATAATTTAATTTATTGCAATTTGTATGTTTGTGCCTATTTTAAGTATGGTGAGAAATAAACTACTGATTACTGATTACTGATTACTGAAAGTAATTTAATAAAATAAAAACAAAAAATATTTTTAATAGGCAAAAGAATCAAAATAAAAGCTGATACTCCATAAGCTTCGCCCATGAGTACTTTCAAGTCTCACACCAATCAGTGTTAACAACAGGAAGTAATTTTACACTATGATGCCTTATGGACTTGTGGTGTCAGTAGGTTTTGGGGCTTCAGTGGTCTTTTATACTTTTTACTCATAGATTCTCCTTCATTTCTGAGCAACTTGGAAAATTGGCAACTTGGCAATTTTTTTTTGTTGTTTTTAATTTTTTTATATTTTAAAACTTGCAGAAACACACAAGGTTATAAAGAAAACCCAAAACTCAGGGAAATACAAAGATTTATAAAGATAACTTTTATACATCAGGGAGGATTAAGGTTTGGATAAGTTGAATTATTTATGTGATTGTTATTCCATTCCAATACAGCAAGATTAAGTTCAGTGTTGTCAATTATGATAAACAAGAAAAGCTGATTACAGTGCATGAAAATTCAAAATTCTGACATACACAAAACAAAAAATAGAAATTTACAATAAGCATTGCATGCCATTGTATTGTTGTACATGTATCACTATTATAATATAACTAGAATTTATAATGCAAATCTATCATTTTACATAGATTAGGGGCAAAGTGACACTGTCCTCAGCTACCAGTTTGTACTCTCTGGAACATTATGTCAGACCACTAGGTGAAGCCGGAGGTCAATCACTCAAGTCCAACAGTTTTTATACCAGCCATTCATTCTTTTACAACCTACTTGATGTTTCTTTTTATGACTTCTTGTGAATTTGCAAACAACTTGCAATTCTAAACTTAGTATATACCAGTGGTTGAAAGGTCTGTATGAGATTCCCCTTGGTCACGATTCCAATGGAGTTTAATAAAATGCAGCCAGAAACAAATTATAAGGTTATTTCGGGTGTGAGCCACCTCAACAAAAAGTGGAGAAAAACAGCTAGAAACAAGAATAGAATTTGGGGAGCCAATCCTGGAACACGGCCCCTGTTTTCATCTGCCTGTCTTTGCTGCTCTGCTACTCTCTGTTCGATTTGTTCCTTAATAAAAAAAACAGTTGTCACTTTCAGCATAATATTTTGTTAGTCAAATTAAATGATTGAATATTTATAGTATGAGATTGAGTTGTATATTATCTTATATTCAGTGGTGGGATTCAAATTTTTTGTCGGTTGGTTCCATCACAAAAGTCATATTTTTCAGCCGGTTCTGTTTCAAAAAGTCATATTTTTTAGCAAATAAACTGATTATTGCTAACCGGTACGCTGATCTTATAAAATTCTGTGAGATGGTTCTAAACAACCGGTGCAAACCGGCTGAATCCCACCACTGCTTATATTCATATTATATATATTTATTTATATTATATTTGATAAATTTATTTTTGTTAGATTATTTTCATGGTGAGATTATTATTTTGTGTATATAACAGGAGAAAGTGTAAAAAATGGACAATTTGGTAATATTACAACTTATTCAAAATAATATTATAACTTCATACACATAGCTTTAAAGAAAAACACAAACAATTATAACGAAGGAATAGAACTAGATTTGTTTAAAATTGAAATTTTGCCAGCTGTTTCTCAGAAATAATTTATTTACGTATTTATTGCATTTACTCACATCTTGTAAAGCTTGTTGGCGGTCGCCATTCATATTCATGTTCCCTGAAACACGAACATCTCCATAGAAATTGATAGTTTGTTGTCCTGGCATATCTAAACAGTATGAGATACACATTAGAATCATATTCATTTTTATTTCAACTTCGAAAGTAATGTTGATTGGGCAACACAAGTTTCCAGAATTAGAAACTAAACAAAATAAGCCAAACTAGAAAGTTTTTTTTATGGCAGGAAGCCTCGTTTTAACAATGAATACCTGCATCATGTTGAGTGGTCGAATGACAACTTGAACAACATAGTAAAACTGCATGAGGCGAGAGCAAGAGCCCTGAATTACTCACCTATTCGTTCCACTGGGAAATCAAAATCACGATTGCAAATTTCCGGTTCATTGCCTTCCTTAACCATCTTGTATCTGATGTTACTTTGGGGATATTGGTCGCGGACAGGGAAAAGCTGAACTGTGTATTCATTTCTTTGCTTTCTTAGGAATTGTTTGTCTACCAGGAAAGTATGGCCATCAGGAAAATCGAAATGCAAATTTTCTGGTCCGCGGTCAATTTGGAGTTTCATGCGAACTCTGTCTCCAATTTGTAAGAGGATCTGAGGAAGATGAAAAGGAGCAAGTTGTGCACCCAGGTCTTTATAATAATGTCTGACAGTGTTCTGAACAGTCTCACCACATGTGAAAAATGCAAAATGAAATTTGTTTTTGTTTAAAATATAAAGACGGTGTTCCATAAGAAGCTCCACTGTTCCAAACAGCAACCACCTGATGAAGGCCATAACTGGGCTGAACTTTCTGCATCGGAATTCTATGCTGTTATTCTCTGTGATTCGATCAGGATTAATAATGTTCCAGTCAGTTTTGCTTGAGAAATGTAATATGTCAATTTTGTCTTTCTCTAGACCGACGCACCATGACTGGATTTGCACGATCGCATCTTTGAGGAATTCGGAATCTGCACTGATATCGAAAACTGGTGTGATACCAATGTATCCTTCTGGGCACAGTGAATTGTCAATTCCAACCGACATCCAGACCTTTGTTTGTTTGTTGAAAGTTCCACCAGGAAACGTGACTTTGCATTCGTTCAGTCTCATGGTTCCGCCGGCAACTTCAACGTTAACCACTAAAAATAGATTTGTTTTATAATGCAACAAAAAATGAATTTTAACAGGTTGTTCGAAAGTTATGTAAAGTAGGAAAGGAGTACTTAGACAAAGCAGGCTCAGCAACTAGAAATGCGACAAAATATTTGTTACCATGAGTTGAGTAATTTCCTTGTGTATTGTTTTAGAATTTTCAATTATGTTTTTTCCCAGTTCAATCTGGTATTGAGCAACTTCCATGTTTAGGAATAAAGAAAAGATTTGGCCTCATAAATCTAGATTGATTGTATGACCAATATACACAATATGAGCACAATATACCTTCATGTATTGCAATTAAGGTAAAGGGGTGGTGTTTAGGAGCCAGTAAAGTAGTAGTTTCTGCATAATTATTTCACATCACAGTTTGACATAGTAATGTTGAATGTCAGTAACCAAATCTTGAACCACCAAGAATGGTAGAATAAAAATACTGTGCCTTGGTCAATGGATGTAAACCATTTTCATTGCGAAAAAGTGTGAGGCCTTTTGAACCACTGATTTTATGCCGATAAGTCGTCTAAAAAATGAAATGCCTAATATTCTTCTAATAATGATGATGGGCCGCCACCATGCAGATACACTCACTGACTATTTATTAAAACAATAAACTAGATAGCGATTGGAGACCGTCGACTTATCGATCTTCCTCATGTACAATATTTTTCTTGACAATTTTGACGGAGTACGATTTCACAATGATTATTCTCGCAATCGCAGACAGGGCAATGTTACGCACACAATCGTTCGCAGCGACGAAGGTTAGGGGATCCGCCAAAACAGAAACTGCGCTTTTGATTGTTTCGCTCGGAGACCGCCGACTTATTGATCTAGCGGCGTGAATCCTTCGCTCTGACTCATAGCGACACTGCATGACCCATCACTAATTAAATAATAACTCGCTGATTATTTGACATGATTCATCAAAAATCAATAGGCTTCTGGTCCGAGATATGATAAATGCACATGCAAAATGGAGAAGATTCAACCTCGTTTTCGTGAGATATCGCGTAACATATGAAAATGATCTAACAGACAGACAGACAAATACCTATGAACATACTTACCGATCGATATCAATAAGTAACTATTTGAATTATAAGGTTGCTACATTAACTAATGATTAATGGCCATAACTTACATTTGATAACATTCTTTGACTGTGTTTTGATGCTAGAGTTTCCCAATTCATCTTTGGCCCACACTTGGAAAATATATTTTTTACCAAGTGTAGGTGACTCCATTCTATACTGAGGAACCTCTGTAGTGTGAGTCCCTTCAAGTTTCACATCATCACAGAAGATTTCTACGTTGTATAGTACGTTGCCGTCAGATACTTCATTCCAAGTCAAAAGAATGTCAGATCCACTTCTTTGAGATGAAACATTTTCAATTTTAGGCAAAGCTAAAAATAGATATTTTATTTTAAATAAAAGCTGTGACCTCAATATTATTTCTGGCCATTTCATTCAAAAACAAAATTAAACATAAAATTGTAGCGAGTAGCAGCAAAGCCGGGTTATCTAAAACAGCTGTGAGTGGCTTTTTCAAGCAAAAACCAAATACAAAGAGTAGTGAGCGATTATCAGAAAAATTTAAAATTCTGTAACTATAAGCTCTATGCTCCGACAGCCAAGTGTAACTACTTGGAAACAATTATTTTATATCTCTAATAAAATTAATTTTGCATATTCTAGATTTACGGTATATTTAATCACAGCAAAAATTTTGTTTGATACCGCAATATGTACAATAGACAATAACACGATAAAAATACCAAATCTGTTAAGAGAATGACAAAATTTAACATGTTGCAAGACAGCGTTGAATAATATGCCAGCTTCAGTAGCAAGTATATTCAATAAGCATTCCGAGAACGATGAAAATTACTTGATGACAAGAATAATATATTAATGATAACTATGGAAATAATAACAATTGGGCAGAAATTCATGATGTAGTGATCATGTGAGCCAGTGGTTTATTTTTCACTAAAATGTAAATTCACTTGATTGGAATGAGAACTAGAATAAAAAAACATAAAAATGGCATCCCACGGTGAAGGGAGACGCAAAGTAAAACCCATGTTTGTTATCGAGCAGCGATATTGGTGCCATAGAACCATTCAATTTGAAAAAATATTCATAACTTACCAAATTCTGTTTTTGAAGTTGTGGTTGGATGTTGTTTAGAAAAAACTTTGATTGTAGCTGCTGATATCCTTCGACTTTTGAGTTTTGTGAATCTATCCAAGCAAATTTCTAGTTTCTATAATGAATAAATTGTATACAAAATTAGCACTGAAGGGTTTCAACGACAATGCTGGAATTCCAGTCATTTACTCATTAACATTTTTTGAGAAACTTTTAAAATTTGCTTACTTTGATAACTCACTAAATTGACAGTCCACGCTTGGTAATTCAATAAAATGATAATTACTGCAAAAAATTAGTAAATACAATTCATTTAAAATTTAGACTTTCGCTTGACGAAACAGAAACACAAATGAATCTATGAAATTGTTCTTTTTATCAAAACACAAATGAACATAATTAAAACAAGAGAGCTATGCTCAAATATATGGACACGTAGCGCCACCCAGTGGCAATAATTTTGATGACGTCATAGCGAAAAAAAAAGTAATACCCTTCTGGAGAAAAATTTTATCTTTAACCACTGAAAATATCAAAGCAATTGGTCCAGTATTCGAAGAGAAAAGCGATTTTTTAAAAATGGAGACGAAGACAAATAACAATAACAACAAAATTTTGAAACGATCGTTATGGCCAATAAACGTGTCCAATAAAGCAAATATTAAACATTAATGTACAACACAATCAAATTGACCACAATGATATAATATTTTGGTAATTGCTTTAAAGAATTGAAATGACACGAATGGAAATAACATATACTTTGGTGGACTTTAAAGTGTTCAGTTCAGCGTGAACAATTTAGACTTTCAGTTTCTACACAAATTATTGATTTATGTCTGACACATATTTTATATTTTGTATATCCCAAAAAGAATTTCAAACCTCCGATCCAATTTCATCCAATTGATTCTGTAATATTTCTTTATCTTCATCAGCTATTTTCCATCTTCCCAACCACAAACTCTTTGTAACATTAGGAAGCAGATTTGCAACTGCAACAATATCTTCATTGTTTGCAATACGATCTTCACCCAGATACAACTGATCAATCTGTTGAAATAAACAAATACAAAAATCAATATGGCATGGATAAAAGTCATATTCGTCCTAGTTTTGCCAAACCCATATTATTCTTATTACACAGAAAAGCATTGTAACATTGAAACAGAGCCTGGTGTCAGAAATTGTGCGTTTTCATCAAATGAGGAACAACAGTTATCAAAATTCAATGTTTTAGTTGTTTGACGTTTCTTGTGGTCAAATCAATTGTATTTCACAAATCGTTAGCATTCGTAATCATTGAACAAAAGTAAGAGCAACATAGTCAAAATTATAATTTGGTTATCAGACTCTGGTGACCTCAAAAAACTTGCCGAGTTCCAGAAGTCAAGGGTTGATTTGAAAGGTTATTTATAAATTCTGTACAAAAGACTAATTGTTAAATTTGCACAAGGTTTGCAGTGAAAAGGCATGAATAATTATTGTCTCAAAGGCCTAATATGTCTCATTGGGATTAACTAACAAACAAGTGAAAAGTGCGACCATTTATGATATCAGAATTACTCTTTTCATTGTAGATAATGTCAAATAGCATTTAGGTGACTGAAAATGTAATAAGCTGTGACTTAAGCTTATACAAGTGGACATCCCACATTTGACCACGTGAAAATTAAATAAATGTGGTTATTGAACAAATAAAACCTGTACTGTTGGAAATAAATATCATTTTAGATTTATTAGCACTTATCGTTTATTCTTTAAAATCTGTTTACCTTCTGTTCCAAATTCTAATTAAGATGTTAAGATGTAATAAAAAGTTTTCAAAATTGATTAAACTTGGGAGTTTATCAAAAAAAAAAATTAATGTAATTTACGTACAATATAGGACAATTTTAGGTATTTCACACAATCATCGGACAAGACTCAACAGAACCGATTGGTCATAAGAATTGGTTATAATATATTTCAAAGAAATTTTCAAATAAATGAGAGGGCATGAAAATTTATTAAAGAAGATAAATTTAAAATTGTTTTTCAAAAAAGGTTTTTCATTAATTTCACCATGTAATCCAATTTTGGGCTATGAAAGTGTGAAACTTAATCTGTTACCAAATCAAAATCAAATTTTCTTCCAACCTTTTTAAAATACGTTAATCATGTGATTATTATTGTGATATACCTTTGTGATGCCCAAGGATGATTTGAAAGCCTGTAGTTGATCTGATGACAGGTTACAGTTGTCAAGGCTCAACTCTTCAACACAGGATTGATTGGAAAGTATTTGTCCAACTGATAATAAACCCTCAACACCCATGTTTGTGTTTCCACTCAGGTACAACTTCATAATCTATGAAGAGAGAAGAATAATTGATGAACCCAGAAATTTAGATATGGTGCATTGAGGGATTAGAAAGAAAAAAATTATGAACATTCTCAAACTGAAAGTAATTTTGATGCAAAATAAACCATGAATATTCCATAGACCAGTGGTTCTTAACGGGGGCCCTGAAGCAATGTGCACAATGCCTGCGTTGCTCATATGTGATAAACAATAAATCATTACGTTCATCCAAACTCCAAATCCACTGTGCAAAAAAATCTTTTCCAGGTAAAAGACGTTTACATTCAGTGCCTTGGCTGCCTAGCGAGTTAGATTTGACAAGGAAGCAACATTGCCAAATTTGGGTTTCTGCCAAAGAAAAAGCCTGCAAGTTTCTCTTTCCAATAGTACAAAGTTTGACTTTCTAGCCTGTGGTCTGTTTTTGCATTCCATAGAAGGTCGAAAATACATAATACACTCGAACACATCCAAGT